AATATTATCAGACTTGCTTAAGAAAATCAAGGCTATAAAGATTAAAATTATAGAAACCTTTTAACAAAATCTGTTGTTCTACATTATATGACTGGAAGCTAAACAGAACTAAACACATTTTAACTGCATGAGAAATGTGCAGGGTGTATTCTGAGGTTTAAGAAAATAATTTAGTATGCATTCTCCTGAATTTGCAGGAGAAAATAGGCTGAGCAATACAAAAATAGTAAGTTAAATTTTCCGCATTCAGTCTCAAAATGACCGTTTGCCCTCTTCTGCATGAATATGACAAACTTCTCGAGAAAATGTTATGAAAACTGCTTAATGCTCTTGTACTGAAATATCACCGAAAGTAATAAACTTTCATTGTGGGCAACATAAAACACTTTATACAGCATAGGCATTTTTGGACAGAATCGAATCAGTGCGATTAGCAGAATCCCTATGAGCCGACCAGTGCAAGCTGCGGAGGAGGAGATGAAGGAGATTCTGTACATTTGCCGTAGAATAACAGAATTATTTTGCACGGTTCACTAAAACTACCCTTCGTACTTTCTTCCAAAATGTAAATTTTAATCTTAAAATTTTAAGATCAGGCATAAGCTTTGAAGAGTGACAGACAGAGACAGGAAAAGAGATTAATTCTTACGATACTGCGAAAATGAAGCTTAAAATATATTTAACGAGTTTGCACTGTTGATTGATTATGGAGCTTTCCGTTCGACGCTGAGTAAAATATTTTGGAAAGTTTCCTCATTAACCATCGCCGACCCTCTCTCTGACCGGCTAAATCTTACATATAAAAAAATGTAACTTTGAAGTGCAGAATATGTTAAATAAACATGAAAATGAAATCAGCATGCCAGAAGGCAGCATAACGGGTAACAATGAGTAAGCACTGCCTCTTTTTTCTAATCATATTTCGCTTAACACATTCGCAATCATAATCAAAGGACGTTTTGCGTCGCTGCCGTACCTGAGAACCCTCGTGCTCTGTTTCGATGTAGCGCGATACAGGAAAACGCTCCTGCAAAATTGCCTTGGCGTCTTCAACTGGCGCTTCGAGTAGCTGTTTAAACGTCAGGTATTGCGGATCGTTTTGGTACCCCATTTTACACCACTGCGCAATAGTCTGAAGGAAACACGGTGAAAAACGAATGGCTCACAGACCCAAGCAATGAAACGCCTTTCGTACCGCTCCGTGGTAGATTAGGACATGGAAGAAGTCATCCATTAAAAGAATTCGATCTGGCAATATACTTGAAGCATCCAGCAGCACTGGCTACAACAACTTTAGTTCAAAGACAAGACAAACACATGAAATACAGCGGCTACTTCAGGTGGTCCATTAAAAGAATACGAAAATAAAATGGGCTGGATCATCGTTATGCATTCCAGTACTGTCTGTGTCATGAGCACGTGCCTAAAACCGGAAGCAAAATTAACACGTCAATGTATGACAAACAAAAACCTGTAGAACGACGTTTCGTCCGGACTGTTGTTGAATACTTGTAGAAATTGCGACCGACGAAGATGGAACATGAATTGTGGGTAAAGAGAAAACTGTTCAGCGATGCGGAATGAATTCGGATCATCCTTTACGAACTCACCAAATTTTTGACACTACAAGAATAATACCATGAGAAAGTTTAAAAACGGTTATATATCTGACCTTCGGTTAAACAAACTTTGCCACTGTCGGTTTCAAGACCGGATGACAAAGGAGGGTTTCGAACTCCTGTAATACTTAGCCACCAGCCACTCCACGGTATTGCTGTTATCGCATGCTACACCGGCTTGGTCGTCACCCCGGTTACCAAGGCCCGGATAGGTTGTTGGGGAACTGAAGCAGATATCGAAAAGTCGCCGATCCGATCAAAACCTGCTTCACTTATTCTGGCAGCTGGGAGGGGGCTGGAGAATAACGACGACTGACGACGGTCAACAAGAATGAGATGAAGATATAATTCAAGAGAGCGCCACCCATTCTGAACGGATGAGGCAGACAACGAACTGCCATTATAGCATGTCAGACAAGCCCCCGCGGTAACTATACAGACTTTGGGAATTTACAACTGGAAATTGAAACATCTCTTCAGTCAGAGCGAGAGTAAGAGCTACCTGATAGTGAAGGTGGGTACCAACTGGATATAGTTGTACTCTTGGCAACAAAACGGCAGAACTCAAGACTGAACTTCTGCGGGTGGAAGCAATGCTACAGGGGTGCCGACTCCTCGACACCCTGCTTATATCCGTGTTTGTGGCCCGGCATAACTCAACCTAAGTGACAAAATCACTGAATGGAAGACAGTGAAGTTAAGTGGCTCTCGTCTAACTAAGATGATAACAGAACAATGCGTTAACCTTGCTACATATCTATGAGCCCAATTCGCACAGAGAAAACGAATGCTTCCGAGATGAAGTAAATGGTACGTACGAACTGCCGACTACGGAATAAATTATTCAATATGGAAATTTCAATCAGCGTGTCGCAGCAGTCACTGAAAGGTGGTGAGGATGATCGGAAAGAACGGCACTTGTGACCTCAACAACAACGGCAAGAAGCTGCTGCGGCTTACTTAGACAACGGACGGTCTATTATGAACACCATTTTCTAGCATCGAAGCATGCATCAGTATATCTGATACAGGGACGCTTGTGCACAGAAGTCGATGATCGATTCGATAATCGTATTGTCTAACTTACGACGCTCTGTAAATGATGCTTGCGTTAAGAGAGGCGAAGAGCTGTCAACCGACCATCACCTTGTAGTGCATCCCATTCGCTGTAAACGATGGAGTACGATGCGAAGACCAGGCGGCAGAAGCAACCAGAGAATAAAATGGACAATATTATTTTGTGCGGATACGAAGGTAAAATTCGTACAACGGTCTGAACCGATCCAAAGAGATGCATTACCGTTTATGTGAACATCGAGTAGAAACTCTGTAAGAGCGGCTAACTCTGTGCTGCCGTGAAATGTCGCTGTTTAA